GTGCCGCCTTAATGCATGGATCTGTAATCTAATTTTGAAGATGTACATCTGTGCAGAACTGCCTGTATTTGTGAATTATTGTGTGGTGTTCACAGAAAATGACACAATTTCTTGTCTGGCACAAAACCAGTGCATATGTGAAGCAAATCAACCGGGGCTTGGAAGCAGCATTTTTGCACCAGATGGGAGAAAGCAACTGTACCAAAGGTGAACGGGGTATTTTCAAATTGTCTTCATTTTTCTTCAATTCAGTTTCACAATATGTTGAATATCAAAGTTTACCATGATGTAAAGCAACAAACTGTATGAAACGTAGTCAAAAAATAAATAAATAAAAATGCTGTGGAGACTCGGAACAGCAGCAATTTCTCTGCACTTCCGGCCTCGGCCATTAATGCCAACAGTACTATTCCATATGGACAATTGGACAAAGACACTTGTGTAATCTTGCATTGAAATGACTACGTTCTGTGCTATTATTTAGGAATCCCCTTTTACAGTGTGATCTGTGTCAAGGGGGATTGGGGAATATCAGAAGCGACTCGGGCAAAGAATTAGGTTTGGTCCAAAATGAACACATAAATGCCTAATGTGCATGGTTCTGTGGTTAGGACGTGTTTCTCACAGTTCTACGGTTTGGGGTTAGAACCTCAAACGATCTTGCTATGTAGAGCCCATATGTCCCTCCCAGTGCCCGCACGGGTGTGATCGCAATGATTTTGGTGACAACATAATGTTGTTTGTGAACTGTTTCTCACAGTTGAATATGTGTGTGGGTCGGCATTTTTTTTTAATCTCTAAATTGAAAACATTTTTGAATACAAGCATGCATTTTTATTTTTTCTTGTTTGAGAAAGAGCTACATTTTGACCCGGTCTGGCACACAGGAGCCTCCATGATGCCACTGCTACTTAAATAATGCAGCCAAGAGCAGACTTTGGATACTTATTATCCATCCATCCATCCTCCTTATCCTCGAAGCTAAGGCTAAAGCTGTGGCCGAAAAAGGCTGATTGACAGCACTAACACAGTTCTTGTTCTACTTTACATAGCAAGCAAGAGAGCAGTTCCCACTGAGTGCTATTTTGGCATGATATTATTTTCAACAATGTGTCAATCATCATGAGGTGCATAAAAAGGCTCGGATCCCAAAGCAAGTTAAATATAGTCAGGTCGTGCGTTTCAAAGGAAACTTCGGCCTTTTAGCTGACACAATTGACACTCCTCTGTTAGTGTTCGACATATGGTCAAATGTTATGTTCCCAAACATCAAGGAAATTATTGCAGATTGTTGGCAGGCAGAACCACAAGTGACACTTATTTCATATTACTCCCCTGACAGCATTGCGTAAGACTCAAGCTTTAATTTCGAACACATTTCAGTTGCATCAGGGTTTTCTTCATTTTAAAATTGTTCTGCTCATTTACTGCTCTTTTGAGCTGTGAATCCAGCTTCTCGTGGCTATTTCACAATTGGATGAAACACCAAATACAATTACAACCGAGATTTATTTAAACCATCTTGAATTGTTAAGTATCTGTTTTTGTCTGTGTAAATAAAATACATCGTGTTACCTGGAGATTTTGTTGAAAATGTTGATTGGGAGAGGACTCTGTTCTATGACAGTCTCACCTGTAGGGACTGGAACTGGAGGCCCACGGTTCAAGTCTCACAGAGAGCAAGGACAAGCAAACAAAAAAAAGAAAAAAATACTTGTTACAGATAATGGGCGGCTCGGTGGTCCAGTAATTAGCAAGTCAACCTCACAATGCAGAGGTTGTGGGTTCCTGTGTGGAGTTTGCATGCTCGCCCCGTGCCTGTGTGGGTTTTCTCCGGGTACTCTGGTTTCCTCCCACATACCAAAAACATGCGTGGCAGGTTAATGGAACACTCTAAATTGTCCTTGAGTGTGAGCACGGATGGTTGTTCGTCTCTGTGTGCCCTGCGATTGGCTCGCAACCGGGTCAGGGTGTCCCCCGCCTACTGCCCGAAGACAGCTGTGATAGACTCCAGCACGCCCCGCAACTCTTGTGAGGATTAACGGATCCGAAAATGGATGGATGGATGGATGTTACAGACATGCTAGTCTGCTTCCTGACAATGGTTCCCTTGAGCAAGGCACCAAGCCCTCTACGAAGCTCAAGCGTTTCACCACTATTTGTGTGGCTCTGTACTCTGACATCTCTCGTTATATGTTCTAGCCGTATGAGGAAAATGGACAGTAAATCTTTTGGAATTACTTACATTTCTGCATAAATTGGTCATAAAATGTGGTTCTTCTGCGTCACAAGAATGAACAACCAGAGCATGCTTAAACTAATGCTGACAGATTATACGAATGTAGCCCGATTTTGAGCCGACAGACGTGTCGCAAATGCAGTGTCTCGTAGCCGATTTTGAATCTTCTTGAACTGGAACAGTTTGTCAGAGGAGTGGTCCAAAATTCATCCTGATCTTTGTGTACGTCTGACCTGCAACAACGCAGGAAATGTTTGGTGGCGGTTATTGCTGCCCATCGAGGTTCAACCAGTAAATCAGTCCAAGGGTTCACTTACTTTTTCCTCCTTGTCCTGTGCATGTTTAATGCTATGCTCGATAAAAATATGAAAACATACAATTGCTTGTTTGGTATTAGCTTGAGCAGACTCTGTTTATTCTTGATTTAGAGGATTCGACTATATTTATACATTTTATGACCAATTTATGCTGAAATTTAAGAAATTCCAAATGTTTCACAAACTTTTTCATCCAACTCTGACTTAGTTGAATTTCCATTGAGGGATACTAATTAACACTGATGAATGGATAGATAATCATCCATACACCACTTCTCCTCATCCGGGTCGCAGGTGAGCTAGCATATCATGGCTGTACGAATTGTTCACCAGCCAGTTGTAAGGTACACATCGCCAAACAACCATCCACTCACATTCACACCACAGGACAATTTAGAGTCTTCAATGAACCTAACATGAAAGTTTTTGGAATAGAGGAGAAAGCCCTGAGTTCCCAAAAAACACACAAGGCCGGGGAGAACATACAAACCCCCACCCTCAGAACTATAACTATTCACCCTGATGTTGGATGACAATTAATATCCGTCCATTTTCTAATCTGCTTATCCTCACAAAGGTCGCGGGCGTGCTGGAGCCTGTCCCAGCTGTCTTCGGGCAGGAAGCTGGGGACACCCTGAACTGATTGCCAGCCAATCGTAAAGCAGCACATTTGCGCTCACACTCACACCAATGGGCAATTTAGAGTGTTCAATCAGCCTGCCATGCATGTTTTTGGAATGTGGCAGGAAACCGCAGTACCCAGAGAAAACCGACGCAGGCACAGGGAGAACATGCAAACTCCACACAGGAGCCTCGATCCGAACTCTGCACCTCTGTACCGTGAGGCGGATGTGCCAAACAGTCGACCACCCTGCCGCCAGATAATTAATACATTTTCAAAAATAATTAATACATTGTTTATGTAAATAAGGTACCCCCGATGAAAATGGTATTGAAAACAAATAGGACAGACACTATTTTCCATTCTTGTCGAAATTTGTAGTCACCCAAACCTGTTACACTATTTAAATTTTAAATATAGTAAGGCAAAAACATTTACGATCACGGATATTTAAAGTAACGTTGTTATTTTTAAGCAAATGGAGGTGAAATGGCAGGAAAAAAATATATTAGAGCGCATGGGCTGTTTCCATTACCGTTGCAGTCCACCAACGAGAGCGGCCCGCCCAGCGATGATGTAATGTCATGAATATGTAAATGAACTGGCTGGCTGGTGGTTGGGAGTCGGCATTCCCTCTGCCTTTATCACCACTGAGCTTCAGCATCCGACTAAAAGGTAAGAAAAGAACATTAAATGGTCTTTGTCCTCCTCTTTGATCAGATGGGTGACAACAAGGGTGTGACTGTTGCAAAAAGGGAACGTTTGACAGTGGACGACATGTTTAGACTGCCTGTCTTCCAACGTTGACTTCAGTGTTGCTTTTCACAATGGGTCATCGCAAAGACATTGCATGATAAAACAACTACGCTGGTTTTACTTGTTTGGAGTAAACGAGCATGATTTAATTCAAATATAGTTGGAAATAGGCATTTTTTTCATGGCCGAACAGGCATAAAAAATGTAGGCAAAGAAAATAAAGTGTCATGTTGTCAACCGGTGCTACTTTTATAGCTAATCCTCAAGCATTTGAGTAAGTGAGTCATCCTGCATGTTGGAAAAGAGGAGATGATGGCTGACAGGAAAAGGTTTGTGTACATATCATATATCCTGGAGATTGACGCATCTTCATTTCAATCGGGATGATAAAATTGCCACACTTGACGTTTATTCGTCCGCAATTTTAGCCCAGCATTGTGAGCCTTTGACTTTGTTTTTGTTTCTTCTTATGCACCCCCGAAGTCCGGCCCCAGGCGTATGCACACTGGGGTCTAATTGGCTGAGCTGCAGCTGAACCCACATACACCTCATCAAACTGAGACTAAACGGGCCCATCTGTTGTCTTGGGCGTCATTTTGGGCGTCTGCATGTGCCTTGCTCAAGATTCAAAAACGAAGCTTACCGATGTACTGGGCGTTAAACCTGAAGAGCGGTGTTCTGCACCTACAGGGTTAGGGTATGGATGTTGTAGAGGATGAGCTTAGCCCCTGACACCATCATGCAGCCATCATTGTCCGCCGACTCGCCGAAGCAGGCGGACAATAACAGCCGGAAGCAGCCGCGCTCCTCCTCCCCCGCCGGCCCCAAAGCGACGCAAAAAGGGAGTAACCCGTCAAAGCATCTCGCATCAAAGCAAGCATTGGGCGCAGGGGGAGGGCGAAGCAGCCGAGGTCATTCTCCCGTCTCATCAGGCAGGGAGCGGCAGGCCGTGGGCGCTCCCGTATCCAGAGGCGCGGCTGCTGTTCAGGTCGCCGGTGCTGAAAGCCCCATTTTGAGCCGGGCTGCCCCAGACAGAGGCGGCACCCAGACGTCCGACGACTCCCCGCGTCTGGGCTCCGATGTCCCCTCCTCCTGCAGAGCCGATCCAAACAGAGTGGTCTCGGATCAGCCCTCTTCGTCCAAATCCCCCAAATTGAGGAGTAAAAACCAGAAAGGAGGGGACGCCTCTGCAACGAGTAAGAAAAGCTCCAAAAGCACAGTCGGCTGTGGCCCCGGCTTCTGGAAGGAGGGCTGCTTACAATCCGAGCTGATTCAGTTTCACCTGAATAAAAGGTTAGGGAAGAAGGGAACAAAGATGCAGGCAAAACCAGCATCTCCCCCCTCCTTGGAGCTCTCCCCTGAGGCTGAGCCCTCACAACTCGCCCCCCAGCAGGACCAGACACTATTGGAGGAGGTGGAACGACTTGAGGATGAAAATGATGATCTTAAGGTAAATTCTACACCCGTCTCAGAACTCATGGCTGCAGTGTCACTGTCCCATCTGTTGTATGTCCATTTGCTGCACTGTAACTGTTGCCGAGCCATGTATTTGGTGCCCGGGCCTTAAATGGAGACTTAACGCATCCCTTATAAATGCTGTATATATCTGCGCTATAGCATCACAGAGAATGCAACAGCAGCAATCATGCATCTGGAGCAGCTCAGAATCAAAAGCTGATTTGGTAAATAATATTGAAGAAACATTTACAAAATGAAAGAACCATACTCAGCAAAGATACCTATTATTGAATGTATTAATGGAGGAGTTTGCTATTTAAACACACACACACACACACACACACACACACACACACACACACACACACACACACACACACACCCTTAAAACTGTGTTATCTGAGAGTAGAATATTATTAAAATGGAAATTGGAAGTGTGGCATGGTGTTCGACTGGTTCGCAAGGTTTCAATTCCGGCTCTGGCCTTCCTGTTTGGAGTTTGCATGCACTCCCCGTGCCTGCGTGGGTTTTCTCCGGGTACTCCGGTTTCCTCCCACATTTCAAAAACATGCATGGCAGGCTGATTGAACACTCTAAATTGTCCCAAGGTGTGAATGTGAGCGCTGATGGTTGTTCGTCTCTGTGTGCTCTGCGATTGGCTGGCAACTGTTTCAAGGTGTCCCACGCCTACTGCCCGAAGACGGCTGGGATAGGCTCCAGCATGACCCGCGACACTTATGAGAATAAGGCGGATCAGAAAATGGATGGATGGATGGATCGTCTTTATTGATACAACTGTTGCTGATAGTTAATTTTAGATGCTTATATTTTTTCATTATTCTTGTTGCATTCTAACTTCAGTGGTTTGTAGAGCACTTTGGTCAACTGTGTTGTTTTAAAAGTGCTATGAATTAAGTTGGATTGCATTTAATATAGTTTAAGTTACTTAGTTCAATATACTTTTAGTTTAATTGGCCAGCACAGCAGCTTCTTTAAATCCAGTTTGGGCAGATTAGATCGAGACTGCAACACAGAGAATTGGAAATCTAATTGGACAAAAATTTTCGGACATCCACCCACATGTGCACGAACTGAAAGTAGTGCAGCCAAAGGAAGCGCTGCAATAATCGACTGTTAGGAATAAAGAAATCCAATTTCATGCAAGGACTATTATAATTTAGGTTGTAATGTACAGTAGGTCAGTGTTTGGGCTGAGGTCAGCAGAGAAAGGTCTTGCTGCCGCTGATTGGCTACCACTGGAAATAACACATTGGTGGGACCTGAGAATTTTTTTTTTTTTTTTAGAGAGACTATTCAATCATATTCTGACACCTGGCTATTTGCTCCAATGTTTCCAAGACTGAAATTGAAGAGATGCGAGCAGAGATGGATGAGATGCGGGACACCTTCTATGAGGAAGACGCCTGCCAGCTGCATGACATGCGGAGAGAGTTGGAGAGAGCTAACAAGAATTGCAGAATACTCCAATATCGCCTAAAGAAGGCTGAGAGAAAAAGGATCCGCTTCACAGAGAGTGGCCAAGTGGATGGAGAGATGCTCAGAAGTCTTGAGCAAGACCTCAAGGTGACTTTGACATGCACCGATTCAGTTTTTCAGTCTTTCAGGTTTCATGCAGTTCCTTGGCCTCAAGCGAGCACGACTGTATGCTCTTCGTCTAACCAGGTGGCAAAGGATGTGTCTGTGCGTTTGCACCACGAGCTGGAGAATGTGGAAGAGAAGAGAACAAGAACTGAAGAAGAGAATGAGAAGTTAAGGCAGCAACTGATAGAAGTGGAAGTCAGCAAACAAGCAATTCAGAATGAGCTAGAGAAAGCTAAAGAGGTGAGGAAACAAAAATAACCTGTGCTCATTGAGGTGAGTATAAATGAGGGGTTCAAAAGGTCCTGTTCATGAAATACTCTCGTAAGCATTGCTGCGCAACGGAAAGTGAGCACTGAATGCAAAACATTTCTCTTCGCACTCGAAATATGTTCATTAAAAGTACATATACAGTACGTACCGGTAGTTAATGTTGCTCAAATAACTCTAATCGTATTTGCACAATCGTAATAGCCCAGCATGTTATTTATAAACCATAGAAACAGAAATGAGAAATATCGTCAAATTATATGTATACTGTATTTTTTTCTTGGATATTAACTGATTCGATGCCAAGGACATTTTTTTTCATGTTTTTTTAAGAATCCAGGCATTCAATCCCAAGTACGTTTTTATGTATTTAATTTTTTTTTTTTTCACGTGGTCGGGTAAAGAAGATCAAGAAAATGGATGGCACTGAATGAGCTACAGTACGTTGTGTGTCCTCCAAGTGATAGAAACAGCTGTCGGCAGCTGACGTAGCAGCAGCAGCAGTTGATGATGATGTAAATGCTGTTTCCCTCCAGCTGTCCCTGAAGAGAAAAGGAGTGAAGGATCTACAGAAAGAGCGGAAGCTTCAGCAGACCCCAACTGAGGTGAGACACTGAGTTTTGGCTACATGCTATTATTTACATTACCTTCGTTAGGTGAAAAGATTTTATATATGTAAATGATTTCATGAACTGTATTGCTCATGATGTAATGAGGAGTAAACGCTTTCCCTTGTTTCAGTTCTGTTTGAATTTCCCGTTCTCTAGTTATCGTCACTATTTTACCCTCTGTGATGGCTTGTTTAAAAAAAATAATCATAAGAAGAAGAAGAAGAAGGAAATAATATTTTACTGAGGAGAAATAAAATAAGTCAGATGTGTTTGATTTTTGAGATATTTTTTTGCTGAAAATTTGGTTGACCTTCATTCTGTATAACTGGAGCGGTGAACTTCTTCCTTCCAGTGTAACATCAGCAGATATGCAATTTATATTAGTGATCTCCAAACATACATAAAGTATGTATCTAGAAAGGGCATTGCAAAATAGGCTGGTACAACAACTTCCCCCCAAATTTTTCTTTCCGCATACAGTAAATCACTCAACGTAATTGATCTCCCTCTGAATCCTAGGAAGAAAATGACGATCTCAAGTGCCAACTGGCCTTCATCAAAGAGGAGGCTGTCTTAATGAGAAAAAAGATGGCAAAGATAGACAAGGAGAAGGATCGCCTGGAGCAGGAGCTGCAGAAGTATCGCTCCTTCTACGGAGATGTGGACAGCCCGCTGCCCAAAGGTGAAGCTGGAGGTCCGCCCACCACGCGGGAATCTGAGCTGAAGCTCCGCTTGCGCCTCGTTGAGGAGGAAGCCAACATCCTGGGGAGGAAGATTGTAGAGTTGGAGGTGGAGAACAGGGGCCTGAAGGCTGAGTTGGATGATATGAGGGAGGACAGGTGATGAATGATCATAAAATCATTCGATTGTCTGCAGCAGGGATGGACAAACCTTTGTGCTGTAGAGCCAAATTTGAATTTCAAAATGAACAGAAGAGCCAGGTCCTTTATGGATGAGGTTGAAAAAAAAAAGAAGAAAAAAGATGTTAAAATATGTTTGTAAAATTGCGCGTTGACGGCGCCATACTTTGCCGATCCCTGCTGTAATACTCGATTTGGATTGTGTGCGGACATATGCCAATGCTCATTGTGCTCCCTAGTTTGGCGGCTGCAGGAGTGGATGGTGATGGCCGTGGAGGTCAGCAGTGCAGAGAGCAGAGTGAGGCGCTCTCTGAGCTGAGGCAGCAGCTGCAGCTGGTGGAGGACGAAGCAGAACTCCTGCGCAGGAATTTAGCAGACGTGGAGGAGGAAAACAAAAAGGTAAATAAATGATCAGTGACTATCCCAAAAAAGAATAAATCAGACCGAAGAGTGGGGAATGTGCATCTCCTAACATGGATTTTTTTTTGTTTTTGTTTTATGTTTAGGTGACAAATGAGCTGAACAAGCTCAAGTACAAGGCTGGATCCCATGAAGCTGGCTTGAGACACGGAGGAGGTTTGTTTAGCCTTTTTTTTTTTTTTTTTGGTCGTAAGAAAACAAGCCGCAGAGTAGAACAACGACCATAAGAGTATATCTGAGGAAAAATGTGTTTCATAAGGCCTCCAGGTGGTGCAAATTAAAGTCTCATTTGCAGAGGTGTCCCACTTTTCACTGTTGGCTTGTTTCAACTTCCCAGGAGGAAGTGACCCTGCTAAAATGGAGGCCCTCCAGGAGGAACTTAAGGCAGCCCGTCTGCAGATCAATGAACTGAGTGGCAAAGTGATGCAGCTGCAATATGAGAACCGTGTACTGCTGTCTAACATGCAGCGCTATGACCTGGCTTCACACCTGGGCATACGAGGCAGCCCACGGGACAGTGATGCCGAGAGCGACGGAGGGCGGGACGATGACACCCCCTCAGCCTCCTCACCTCGCCTCCTGCCACCTCACCGTAAACGGGAGGGCCCCATTGGAGGCGAGAGTGACTCGGATGAGGTGAGGAACATCCGCTGCCTTACCCCAACGCGCTCCCTCTACTCACCTGTGGAGAGCCGTTTTTTATCCAGAAGCCTGAAGGACCGGCAGCAGATGATAGACATCCGAATAGAGGCCGAAAGGCTGGGCCGGACCATCGACAGGCTCATTGCTGACACCAGCACCATTATTGCGGAGGCTCGGGTGTACGTCACTAATGGTGAGCTTTTTGCTAGGCTGGATGATGAAGACGAAGGTGGGAGGTATGTCTGAGAAGTATGAGGTCATATACTTTACCATGCTTAGGACTACAAAAAAGTCACACCATTCTCGCATTTGGCAGGATTCGAGAACATGAGCTGCTATATCGCATCAACGCGCAGATGAAAGCCTTCAGAAAGGAGCTGCAAGGCTTCATTGACCGGCTGGATGTTCCTAAACAAGATGACAAACAACCAGAGGAACCTCTTTCTGTAAGCTCAGTTTGGTACACAAACACGATCATTACGGGAGATGGATTATTAGTCAGCCTCTTTATTAGGGCAAAATCTTTGATGGCTTTATATGGCACGTTGCCCTGGACAAACACTCTCACACTATTTATACGACATTTGACTGAAATGACCCCCACTGAGTATCTGGCCTCCCATCACACTTCAGCAACAGCAGAAACCTTCCGTTCTTAAACCTAAATGGAATATAGCTTTAATTAATATCATTGCAACACATCCTGTTCACAGTTTTACCAGGTCAAAATAATTGCTGTCAAAATAAATAAATAAATAAATAAATATGAAATAAGTCAGAGGGTTGGGGCCATTTGCACGGAACTGAAAATAATCGCTGTTATCTAATATGTCGGTGTTTTCTGCTAACGATTTGACAATGTTCTCTTGTCCCCCCTTTTTTATTTCACTCATCAAGATGTTCCAGCCCATTATTTTGCTGATCCTCATTCTTGTTCTGTTTTCCTCACTCTCTTATGCCACCATTTTTAAACTTGTGTTTCTTTTTACCCTTTTCTTTGTTCTGTAGGCCTCAAAATTGAATGTCGAAGGCTACATCTTTATGTTTTTTTCTTTTCATTTTCATGTAGTGTTTCATTTTAATTCTGTTCCATTGAACACCAAGTCACTCAAGGTACAAAGCATAATCAATTTACAAGCACGGCCCACGCCATTCATCTCTTCAGATGATTTCTCCATCTATAGGAGACCAAACACCTTGGAGGAGATAGTGGGGAGCGAGGTGAGTATGTAACAGATTTTCATTGAATGAAAATTATTGAAATGTATTAGATGTATAATTAGAGATCTTTTCAGGGTGGTCTCGGCATGCACTGGTTTGCTTCATGCCAGTGTTGCCAAGGAATTTTTGGCATGTTGAAAATTGTTCCCAAAGTGATTTGAATGAGCGGAATGATTTACATTTCAACTGGTAACAGTTTCAATCAGTTCAGTACAATGCACCATTGGGTATTGATCGTGAACTTTGGGTGGGAATTTTAGTTGGGTTCATGTTGAAGTTTTTAGAAATCAGAATTTTTGGCTTGTGAATTGAATTAGCTGAACAATTAGAATTTCAAAAACGAACAATGTGAATCTCTTTTGCTGAATGTGCATCAGTTTTATTGAATGTGTCATTGAAAAAGTAAAGATAATTTTTTGTGTGTAGTTAGTAGTGATTTTTCTTTTGGGTGGGGGGGGGTGTATGGTAATTTTTGTCATGTAGATACTCATCCCAAAGGTGAATTGAATGAGCTGAATGTTTTGAATTTCAATTTGGAATCATGGAAATGTTTAATGTTAAATGTGCCAATGGGAATCAAAAGGGGATTTTTTTGTGCGTATTGTACTTTGATCGTGAAAACATGACATTTTGGTGAATGGTAATTTTTGTCATGTTGAAAATGATTCCAAAGGTGAATAAAATGAGCTGGAAGTTTTTAATGTGCTATTGGAAATTAGAAAAATATTAGCCCTGACAAGCATGAATTTTTGGAGTGTTTTGAAATTGAAATGTTGTGATTCACTGAATATGAAAAAAAAGATCAGAGTATGTGAATTTGTGAAATTTTGTGGTGAAAGTCTGAGAATATTACTGTGATTTTTTTTTCTGGAATGTTGAAAATACTTCCCAAGGTGAATTGAATGTGCTGAATGTTTTACATTTCAAATGGGAATGATGTAAATGTGTAACATTGAATGTGCATTTGCAAATTAATGGGAATTTTTTTTTTTGCTTGAAAAATGTTGAATCGTGGGAAAACCATGACTTTTAGGAATCAGAAAATACAGGCACACTTGTCATGAATCTTTGGAAAATGTTGAAATTGGAACGGTAAGAATTGTTTGAAAAATGTGGAATGTTTTGCAAGTTTCTAATTTAGTCAGTCACACGAAATAAAGCATTTACAAACTACCCCAAAAAAGGCCCGTTTTCCCGAAAGTCAAACAAACGCATTTTAAGATCATAAATAAGATTCAACCTGTGGCAAAATTTTGCAAGAAATTTAAATTTGAGGTTGAGATTGAAATTTGAGGTTCCTTCTGTCATAATGATGATGAAACTCTTTTCCCTTATCATTCAACGCTTATGGTCTGATATGAAAAATTGGTTGACCAAATTTGAATTTTGTTGAATTATTTTCTTGATGGATGACTTAGAATTTTCTGATTAGGATTTGATTGACATAATTTTGTTGATGGGTAAATAACATACATTGTGCCAAATGGAGAACTATCAAGCCCTCCTTCTCAGGATTTATGACTGACTTTAAAATGTTTTTCATATGCCTAAGAAAATAGAAACAAGCAGTTATGCGAGGAAAATGTGTCAGACATTTTAATGGAAATGGCAAGTTTTTACTTATGAATTCCCTTTGTTCATTGGGAAAAAAATTGGGTCACTTCCTGTTGATTTTAGGGCACTTACGGGTCACTTGTTCAAATTCAGGGCACTTTCTGTTGATTTTGTTGTACTTCTGGATCACTTCCTGTTTAATTTGCCGGGTGTACCTAATATTTTGGTCAATTCCAGAGTCATCTCATCCCTCCAAGAGAAGCAATAAGGAGGTTACAATGTGTGACCAAAATGAATTTGACAACCTTGATTTAGAGTCTTCAATTAACCAGACATGTATAAACCCAATTCCAATGATGTTTTTTTTTTTGTATGTTTTGGAAATATGGGAGAAAGCTGGAATATTCGCAGTCAGAGGGAGGACATGCAAACTTAACTCATATCCTCTTGACTGTGAGGCACATGTGTTAACCACAAAAACATGTGTTGTCTATAAACAGAAACATCAGTTTCCGAGAAAGAAACAAATTCTTGTCGACGAAATACAATTTTATAATGTGAAAACTTGGGTGGCAAGGAGGCTGACTGGCTCGCATATCCCTCTCTCAAAGGTCAAGGGTTCAAATCCGGGCTCCATCCTTCCTGTGTGGTGTTATCATTTTGTCCACGTGCCTGCGTGGCTCTTGTCCGTGAACTCCAGTTTCCTCCCCACATTCCAAAAACAAACATAATTGAACACTTGAAACTGTCCATAGGTGCGACTGTATGTATGAATGGTTGTTCGTCTGCGTGTGCCCTGTGATTGGTGACGACCAGTTCAGTGTGTGCCCACCTATTGCCCAAAGACAGCTGGGATAGGCTCCAACATGCCATGACCCTCGTCAGGATAAGTGGTTTAGAAAATGGATGAATGAAATACTCTGACGATTAAATTTTCCAACCTGCTTGAAAGGCTTGGAATATAAAGAGAGAGCCAGAGAAGGGGACCTTTAACCAAGACCTTCAGTTTACTTTATGATTAAAGTAATTACCGGTACATTAGAAACTAAAGTGCTGTAAATTTACAAAAGGGGTATAGATGGAGAGAGGAAGAAAGAGAGAGAGAGAGAGAGAGAGAGAGGGGTAATTCCTGTGAAAGACAGCATGATTCCAGATGTGGGAAGTCCCTCTGCAGTTGTTAACCGAGCTTTGACATTCTTTTAACTTCTGTGCCTGAAATACAGAGTGCATTAAAAATGAGGTAAGGCTCTATTTGGTCACATTTCTGGTGCTTTTTCGAGGGTTATTGTTTTGCAATAGAGGACCATGCCACGGCACAAATTGCAATTTGTAGTGTAAAAATGTTTTGCTAGCACTGGTGCGTTCTGTCGACAAACTCTGGCCGCTTGAACGTTTATGTACAGTACGCTTGTGTTTGTGTTACGTTTCGTTTCGTTATGACAACTTGTTGTCGCTACATTGTTAGCATGTAAGTAATTTAGCGATGGGGTCGTCAATAGGCTACGTGCGTGAATGGCTTCGTTGCCAATGAGACAGCGTCAGGTGGCACTTTGAAGAATACCTTGGCGTTGACTGATGGTGGAAATCTTCTCCAGACTCCTGTCTGGTGTTTGGAAAATAAACTCATGGTTACACGAGGTAAAAATACTCCCACTCTCCCATACTCACATGAGAGGGCTCCATGATATTTTTGGCACTTTCCCCTACTGGAGTGGCGAAGCGGTTACTGTGCGCCTGTCCTCGCCCGTGCCTTCATTTCAAGCAAAGTACAGGAGAAAGCAAAAGGAGCACACATTGTCGCCAAAGCAACGCACAGGCACCACGATGAAGACTGACGCTCGTGTCTGTGGGAGATGAAGGGGACGATGCCATCCTGCACGAGGACTCCCGTACGAGCTGCTGCCTGGCCCTCAGGGGATTTGGCTGGGTTTGGATAATTGGACCATTTAATTACGTTAAAACATAAAGGTTGTAAATACAAGTAATTGAACGTAAGGACACTTTTTTGAAGAACTTTTAATATTTTGTTCGTTTAACTCGGATATGGCGGCGCCATGTGGAGTGCGCTTTTAAATGGTTCAGGGCTGCACGGTGGAGGCGGTGCAGCCGGGGGCTACGTCCCGTCTCAAGGATGGGAGTTTGTACCGTGCACCAGACTCGAGAGGACTGGCAAAGGCAAAAACCGCAGCTCACTGAGGAGTATATCATCTCCGCCCACCGTTTTCAATAACATCTGCGACGCTTTGCCGGGAGAAAGTGAAGGTGGAACAGGGACAACACTGGAATTGCTCAAAGGACAAATGCCGCCAGACACCGAAGCCCAGCAACAGCAACATACGCGGCTAAAGAAGAAATTTGAGGATCTGAAAAAGCGGCACGTACAGGATAAAGAGAAATGGATGCGGGATAAGGAGGTGCTGCTGAGAGAAGTGGCTGACATACAAGTAACTACAGAACAGTGGGCGACTGTTCCTCTCTCAGAGAACATTTGTAGTTCACTCATTCTATGCCTCAAGACTGTCTCTCACCTTAGTCTCGTATAATTAGTTGCAGTTTGTCAGTGTAATTAATTTAGAACTCTAAACTGACCATACAGGTGTGCATGTGAGTGAGGGTGGTTATTTGTCTATATGTGCCTTGCGATTGGCTAACGAACAGTTCAGGGTGTACTCCGCCTCCCCCCAGTCTGTTGGGATGGACTCCAGGTTAGAGTCTCCGACTCCAGCTTACCCGTAACCTTCATGAGGATAAGTAGTACAGAAAGTGAATTGTCAAAGACTTACTTTCTTGATAGCGCCTAAATCGACACTGTGCTAAATCATTTGTGATGCCAGCTCATCTCGCAAATTATTTGGCTGAAAGTTGTGCTGATGTTTGTGCAGGCAGGGGAGAACCGGAGAATTTTGCTGGACCTGAAGACAGTGTTGGAAGAAGTGCAGGTGGAGGTGAAGCGAGAAGAAGAAAAGAGGAGTGATCTTCAGCTGCAGTACAACAGAGACAGATGTGCCTGGGAGCTGGAGAGGGCGGAGCTCAAGTGCTGCATTGCACAGGTAACAGATAAAGTTGACCTTTGAGTTGATGGATGCGTGTGCAATTATCCAAGAAACTTACAATGTTGCTTGTGATATGCCTATGTTAGGGCGCGTGCCGTTATGGTGAATTTTGGTCGACTTTGTCGCTCATGGTTACAAGTGATGAGTCACCTGAGAGTCCATCAAATTCTTGGCCTCAGCTTTGATGAAGATTTGCACTAAGGAGACAAACAGTTATTCCATCTGAGCCAGTCGAAACTTGCTTTCACAATGAAGCAGATAAAGTGTTTTCCTTTATTGGTGACAGCTACTGTTAGGCTCCAAAATACTTTAGAGTTCAATTTCCATGCCACTAACTAACTAGTGTGTGAGGCATTGCGTGGATTACTTGATGGTCGGTGCCATGCGTAGTTAGTGGTGTCAATGTATTTGATTAATGTATGTGATGGAATGATGACTGCTCATCTTGTCAGTCGTCTGAAGTCATCTGAATGTGGCGGCACTCTGCCTTTTCTGTGATAATATATTGAGAGAGACACAATCCGACACTGAGGCTAGCCACCACCAGTGGCATGTGAACACAACACATTAACATGTAAGAGCCAGATGCTCAGCATGCGGAAAATGTTTTGCCCGAACGGCCGGACATGGAGTGGAGACGAGACCCATCGCGATTGGAAAAATAGTAAACTATATAGGCTGTGATTATTAGCCTAGCGTTATTGTTTGAAATTCGATGCTGTGCCATGCTGTAAATTGCGCACGATGGGATTACCTACCTGGTGCAGTGTTCCCGCTTGCTCTGAGAGCACACGTTATAGTGTGTTGGTGTCCTGCATTGTCATTGCTAAGGTAGTTCTGTTGCGTTGTCAGCCACTCTGCACATTATATTGGCAGCATTATTAGTTGTAAACCATGACAGAGGATTCCATCCATGCACTCATACATTTTGAATGTTTTCGTACATCATGCCATCCATGTACACGTATAATATTTTGAATCTAATGATCTCATAAACAACAGTCAGATTTATTGATTGATTATCACACCTAGCTTTTTGCAAACCCTTGATCGTAAGCAAAATAGTTGAGAAAACAGAGGTCTCGAAGTGCTTGTAACAAAGAACGCTTGTCGACACCGGCATGAAATTCGTTCGCTTTGTGAGAATGAATCCGGCTACTCAAACAAGTGTTGGCCTGAATGTGAACAGTGCATCGTCATGCAAAGGCATTTTGACTAATATGTCGATAACAATGGCAAAGAACAGTTAACGGGACAATCAACCATGCAGTACAGTGGATGACTGGCGACTCGGCTTTCTTCGAATGACGTCACTCGCCTGAGATTGCCAATGAAAAGTATTTTAGTTTTTAAGCGCGTTGCTATGGGTCAAACTATCAACCCGGGTAGGTTGTGTTAAAAATACTAACGAAAGTATGCTTAAAATAGTTTTAGCCTTTAATATTACTTAAAAATTGTTGACCACATTTACTTCACAGACCTTTAAGGACTGAAGTGATACTGCGACAAATGCATGCACACATACCTAAAATTACACATGTGAGGAGATGCACAATTGGTTATTAATATGAGCATTTTACATGCTCCCAGTCAGCATAATCTGTTTGCTATAATCTCTGCTTGATTTAAAAAAAACAGAGATGAAAGTCCTCCGGATTTTCCCGGAATTCCGGGTTTTTCACATTTTTATGAAAATCTCTCCGGAGAATTGAGGAAAATTTGCCTAAAATTAATCCGGATATTAGGTGACAACATTGAACGAAGACGCGTTTGAGTTCGTTGTTTTGCTTGCACGAGCGTAGCCATGTTGAGACACTAACACTAGTAACAGTAGAGATTTTTGTCTCTTTATCAACACATTTGCTAAACCCCAGTGGAACGAATAAAAGACACCGTGGACAAGACAGTTGTCGTAAACAATATATTTGGACAAAAAGGGAAACACACAGATTGGCAGAAAAACGTGTCCGTCCGACTTCGAGTG